CACAAGCCCATATAAATACATGATCAGGTAAATATGAATAATAAATAGTATAAACAGTAATTATTAATGAGCATTTTATCATCCGTATCATTAGTGTTCATCATCTATTCCGTAAGGGTTCCAATGCCGCTCGTGATCATGAGCACATCTGTTATAATAATTTTACACTCTGTAGAGGTTGTACACTTTCACTGTAAGTCGTGATTTATCCTTTCGTTCGAGGTGATCAGCCTCTTGACCCACTACCAAGTAAGGTCGACAGGGTTCACTATGAAGCATTTCAAAGGTTTGTCCAACAAGTTAGGGCTATTAGATTCATTCGACAAACAGATGTAGAGCCCCCCTTCCCGATGGCACAATGACGCGCAGCCTATACACAAGGGGACAGAGGCTACACTATACCTGATTCGATAAGCCATTCTTACGCCATAAAGGTAACCTCTAACAAGCTAGAAAAGGTCCTCATACTGAGTTAAAGCCAGAGTCATATAGCTCTCACAGTTGTACTGTAAATCCCTGATGTTCGCTTACAGATAAATCTTTAGTGAGAGAAATCTAGAGCATCATAAAAATAGCCAAATTATCTAGCCCCCTTTTTCATGTTGCTAAAAAGCATCTTTTAGTGCTTATTGCATATATCATTAGTCAAGTTACAAGATTATGGTTGTAGTTGAACACTAGCATCATACTACCCAATGCAATACCCCATAGGTATCAAGGCACGAGGTACAAAGTACTAGGAAATACTTAGTAGTACTCAAGGTAGACACATGCAGTATGATAAATGATTAATGGTGTATAGGACAACAAGAAAGATCTCATGCTATACTTGCCTCAAAACTCAGATCTTCTTCTAGTCCAAATCTTCAAAGATCTGCTTTTTGATTCACCACGTATAGCTCATCAACTGGACATGTTCATAAAGCACCACACAAACATCAATGCAATCATACTCGAATCAAACAATAGAACTAAATTAGAACAGTACACCAAATATAATGAATAGCAAGTAAAAATGTTTTAAAGATGTTCTAAATGTCGCTACGAACACACAGACACGAAAAGCACGCTAATCAGAACTACGATCGTAAAGAAACGACTACAGGGTTTTATATTATAAAAGAAAAAACTATAAGCTTGATTTATGTTAATTAGAAAAAACTACGTGAGTAGCATTAATTTAGATTAAACAAATCATATTTATACTTAAAAATTGAGTTGAAGCATATTTTATTTATAAATATTTTGATATCATTTATGCCAATTCAACTTTAACTTGCAAATACAAACTGACATGTGAGAACATCTAATCAAATTTGATATGTGTGTTTAGATTAAACATGTTATAATTTAGAAACATATTTATGTTAGCAATTAGTCATGCTAAAACTTATTTGTAAAAAAGCATTGTATATAATTATGTTGCTTTTATTTATAAAAACTAGCTGCATGCATATTAATCAAATTAATATTTAAGCATATATATAAAAGTCACTTGATATGAAAAACGATGACACTAACATGTAGATCACATCGATACGAATTTAACGCAGTTGGAACGACTCAAAACGGACTTAAAACAAATATACGACGACGATATTACGAACTGATGGTAATTTCGTAATTACCTCATCTTCATCCTTTGGCCTCCCGTACAACCACCACACGACTATGGCAACAGTAGCTGCGCAGGGGTGGGCTCGACTTGTTGCACGAAAGAGAGGATGGTCGGGCTGGGCAGCGCGGCAGTGACGGCGACGACGATGAGAGAAGGAGAAAAATCTGATTTACTATACGTGGGATTTCCTAAACTAGGGGCTCCCCTTACGGTAGTTTTGGTGTGCTTTGCCCAATGGGTTGGTACATATCTATAGGGAGAAAAACTCCCCACATCTATATCAAATAGAAATATGGTACTAATTGACGTTGCACCCTCCATATTTACTAATGGGCATAAATAATCATTAAAGCCCATTGATAAATAAATGCATGGGCCTTTAGAATTTATTAGGATTATTACACATGGGCTTTAAGAGTGGGTTAGAAAATGTGATATATTATTTATTTTCGAAATTAATTAATTTTGCGAATAAAATAATTCTAGAAAAGTCCAAAATTGATATTTAAGCTACGAAAAATACTCCGAGACCTCCAAAAATTTGGGGAAACTTTTCAGAGACACTTCGGAACATGATGAACCCAAATAAAGTATTTAGAGCTCATAAAAGATTGTTGGGAACTTGGAACATAAAGATTAAAGTGAAGGAGATAGGAATTAAATTTTAGAAAGAAGCTGAAAAATTCCTAGAGATAGATATTCGTCTCCTAAACGTATTTTAAAAACACACACATTTTGCACATAGAAACACAAGGTGCGTCCGGCATGAATGCAACAAACACGTTTCTACCTTAAGATAAATTTTAATCTAATGAAAATTTATTATTTCCCCATATTTTCATGAGCATAAAAATACAAAATTAAATTATTTTAGCTTTATTTCAAGATAAGCAAATTTTAGGGTGTTACATAGAGCACGCCTTATATTACGGGACATGAATAAAAAGTAGTCACGTCTTATATATTGGGACGGAGGGTGTATATAGGTAATCTAAATGAAGATTTTGATTGTTACTTTATGCTGTTTTTTATAATGGCAGTGATCAATAAATTAGATATAGCTAGCTTAGGGGTTACTACACACTTCTCTTCCATATAATGACAAATATTTTTTTAGTTTTCAATAAGCACAATAGACCCGAATGTCAATAATGAATTAATGATTACAGTTTACAGGCCTGATACTCCCTCTGTCTAAAAAAAAATGCAAGGTTGCGTATAGGTCAAACTATAGTTTAACTTTAACCGACTTTATTGTGAATAGTATTAACATTTATGTCTCCAACTAGATTTACTACGAAAATATATTTCATAACCAATTTTAATGATGGTACTTATTTTGTATCGTAAATGGTAGTGTATTTTTACATAATTTTGATTAAACTGCAAATCGTTTGACTTCTCGAAAAGCGAGAATTGCATTCTTTTATGGATGGAGGTAGTAGATAAAATTTTCTAGAAATTTATAGAATTAATTAGATTTTTAGCACGTTCATGCAATTTAAATTGAAGGTTAAAAATACTATGCACTAATCAGTAACGGTAAGATAGTGCACTGGACTCGTGCACAGCTTAAACCTATATTGAGAAGGTCGTGTTCTGTTTTTCATATACAAATATGTACTCCACTGGACTCACTTCCAGCTAAAAAGGGCAAAGGGCAGCCTCTCATTTTTCTTGTGGATAAAACCAAAGGCATGCACGCCCAACTATTTACAATGGATGGACAAAGGCTGCAAAGGGACCGGCGGTATCATGATTTGCGCAGAATTGGATTGAAAGTTGGCTCAGCTCATGGCCCAGTTTGACCCACACTCGAGAAAGCGAAAACTTTCTGATGTGTCAAGTTGATGATATACCATATCTCTGGGACTCTGACTGTATCCAGGGGGTCTCCATCACAGTCCTCGTCATTTAGAGGTTAATTAAAACCTCTTGAACATAGGTCATGTTTGCTTCGCTGAAAAGCTAGACTAAAAAATATTTTTGGTTAATTTGTTATGAGAGAAAAATAATGTACTATAACTGATAAATTTAAACGAACAGGGTCATAATTAGCAAGGACCTCGGACAGCTAGTTAATTCAAACGGCCAATTATAATGTATATATGTGGCCATGTACGCACATGACCTCTTCCGGTGAAATAAATCAGCAGCGATAGGTACAGCGACAAACAACACTTCAATCATACGGCTGCATGATATTATTTATATATATGCCTGACGTACGGGAGGCCATCGTCAGCGATATAATCCTCTAGCTAGCCAATCAACTGGGTGCTGGAAGAAAAAAGCACGGATCCTAGCTATATTGCTGTGTAGCTCATCACCGTGTCGGAGGCCTGTTCGTTTGGATGAATGAATCTGAAAAAAAATTGTAAGAGCGTAAACAATGAAAAACAATCGTAAACAGTGAATTCTGGCTGGTTTTTAACCAGCCGAACGGCGCCTCAGGCCACGTAGTACGTAGTACTAGTACTACGTAGTAGTTAACATAACACGGATCGAAATTCGAAAACACGTAACGCTACAACTGTTGGTGGTATGGACGGAGTAGTTGTGTAAGTACTCTACTCCGTCGGTTCAAATTATAAGTTGTTTTGATTTTTTTATTTATTTTATTATATATTTAGATATATTATTATATATAATTTGGAATGGAGGGAGTAGAACACATCTGCTAGCAGGCTGGTAGTATACGACGCATCTCGATCGGTAGGGAACCTGCTGGACATATGTGGCATGTTCGCTTAGAGGAATTTGGATGGTTTAAAGGGATGCTAGAGGAATTTGCAAGAGAAAAATACGGTTCCGGATGAAAAAAGAAACGAATCAAGTCGGATTTAAGGGCACGCGAACAGGGCCGTGGACTACACACGTGCGGCTCACCAGCTGGGATTTGAAGGGGACTTTAGCATTTCATCCATCATCAGAAATGGGTTTCGCAGTTTTACCATCCCTCAAAGTGGTTTCGTAATTTTGCTATTATGAAACGGATACAACCCGCTGGAATACACTTTGGGTAGTTTGAAGACGCCTCCTTCCATTTCTACCCCTGTACCCCTGGCTGCTGTTACTTTCATCGACGACGCAGTACCTGTGGCGTTCGGGCAGGGGGAGGTGGACCACGCCGTGGCGGCGGCGCTGTCGACGATGCCGATGCTGCAGCAGCAGCAGCCCGCGGCGGCCGAGCACCCGCACCACCCGCGCAAGGCCGCCAAGGTCAACACCAGCTGGGACTCGTGCATGACGGAGCAGGGCTCCCCCGCGGACTCCTCCTCGCCGACCATCCTCTCCTTCGGCGGTCATGCCGCTGCCGCGGCTGCGTTCGCCAAGGCGGAGCCGATGCACCCTACAGTACTCTAGTTAGCTTGCTCCGACGTCACAGGTACTGCGCGTGTATTCGGTCTCTGTTCTGCTCCCACCACACCTTGGCCCTATCCTCGCCGAACCTCTCCCGTCTGCAGCAACAAGAACGCGAGATCACATCCCATTAGCATAACAAGATTTCCAGCATGATTAGATGTCCGACGATGAATCTTGCATCCGGAGAATGAATAGCTAGTGTGGCCATTGACTTGCCTGAAGCCGGGCTCGTCCTGCTCCACCCACTCCGTGGCCTCCAGGTCGCTCGCGTTGCTCACGGACACGGACGCCTCGTCCAGGGACGACGTGGTAGCGCGCGACGGGTCCAGGTGCGGAGCAGCCGGCGGCGCCGGCGCGGAGTTGAGCAGGTTGAAGTGGTGCGCCCACACGTGGTCCGACGGGTCCGGCACGGCACTGGACGACTGGTTGCACGCAGCTCGGGCCGTGGAAGCCGCCGCCATGGCCCTGCACGAAGTGGCGCGGACGATCGGCTGCTCCCTGCCCACCGCTGCCGTCGGCGGCAGGATCACCGGGCTCTCCCTCGTCGAGCCGGCGCGGGAGTAGAACGACGAGTCTCTCTGCATGCCAACAGTTTCAGTTGGTGTGGCCTGATCCACGACGACAGCACAAAAGCGTACGCTAGACCGGCGGTCGAGACGGCGAGTCGGCAACGGACCTGAGTGGCGTCGTCGATGGAGGACGTCGGCGTCGAGATGCCCTGCTGCCGGCTGAATGTCTGCACGCTGTAGAGCTCCACCACGCGGTCGTAGTTCTCCCCCCACCACCGCTGCGCCTCCCACTTGTTGAACATGTCACGGCTGCACACGTTCGATGCTCCGTTAGCTGATCACGCATTTGATCAAGCAATTGCGCGCAAAACTGTTCGTGCATGATAGGCACCTGAAGCGGATTCGCTTTAGGTCGTTGCCGGCGCCTTCAAACTACCCCTTCAAACAGCAGCCAGGGGTAGAAATGGAAGGAGGCGTCTTCAAACTACCCAAAGTGTATTTCAGCGAGTTGCATCCATTTCATAATGGCAAAATTACGAAACCACTTTGAGGGATGGTAAAACTGCGAAACCCGTTTCTGAGGATGGGTGAAATGCCAAAGTCCCGATTTGAAGTGGGATGTTTCCGGCCGGCCGGCCGACGGAGCTACCTCGGCCGGTAGGGAGATCCGGAGATACGACGAAGGGCGAGGAGGCCCTGGGACTGCGACACCCCCTCGGATGGAGACGAGTGGCCGGGCGAACTGGGGTCTGGTCGGCGCGCGTAATGATGTCGCGGGAGAAACGGGGCGGAGAGGGGCGTGGATGCATGGGTGCGTAGGCCGCGCGCAGCAGAGCCAGCCGGCCGGCCGGCCGGCCGGGCGGCCACCAGTGGATCGATCCAAGCCCACCTTCTTTTGCTAGATTCCGCCACCCTCTCCTCGCCAGATTCGCTCCCCCCGTCCCCTCGTCCGCGACTCCGCGAGAGCGATCGAGCCGAGCCCGGAGCCAGAGCCAGACACTTCTCCCACCCGCCCACGCGATAACGACCCGACCGCCGCGCGCACGCCGTGCCGTCGGCTCTTCGATCTCGGCCTACTCCGCGTATTTTTCCGTGCCGCCCTCGGGGCTTGCGCGCGCTACATACCCGCCGCTCCTGGCCGGTCCGGCTAGCCGACCCGCGCTCATGCGCCCCGCCGGGCCGGCGTTTGCTACGGCTTCTGCGATCGCGCTGCAGTCTTATGACGCGCTGCCCATGAAATCTCACCGATCTCGATCAGTTGCTGGCAGGCGTGCACCGTACCCGTGATTGGGGTCGATAAACTAGCAGATGCATACTGGGATGCTGTCAGAGAGGCCATCACCGCAGCCCTGACCAAGAAGACCAGATTGAGCTTATCATCTGATGAATCATATTGCCGTGTGTTCCTGTTAATTAGGACGTACGCCGTGACGTCGTCGTCTTTTCTGCATGTTTTTGTTTATTTCTCGCAATTATGTTGTTGTTGTTGATGATGTTGTTAGTTACTCTGTTGCTGCCACGCATACGTACGTGCACATCCTGCATGCTAGCTAGCTAGCTTTCGAGGATGACTCTCGATCGGTCGCGAGTGCATGCGCGCCAAACAGATCACAACATGAAATCAACGCAAAGGCATTGAAGATGTGCATGCATGTGTCAAGAATAATGACATGCAGAGACATGCAGTGGCAATGCCGCAGTTGTTTCTCTGCATGAAAACGACAGGGCGAGGGTATAACTTATTACAAACTAAATTATATGTGTTTTCTACAAACGGCTATGAGCTCATGATATCACTCCATCAACTAACCCTCAAGCAGATGATCGCTTTGGCATCATATATATCCTCCATGCTTTCGATCCCCTATAATTCTACTCTATATCCGGCCTATTCATCATCAGCTTATTATTATGAGTTTGATGATGATGGCATCATACATACCGATCGTTGTCACTCCCCACCATGTACGTTGCAAGCTCCTAACAACTCCAGATCTTTGTCTTATGCACGAGATCAAAGGTAAGCTACTTAAACCATTAGAAAACGGCGTACAAACTAATCTGTCAACGACAGGCCGGTCTTTCCAGCAGATTTCAAAAAGGTCTGAGCTAGCTTGCAATCGACACAACAAATTTGATGCGGCAGCTTGGACTACTGACTGATTTGGACACCGAATTATTAGCTGCTCTCTATTTGGGAGCTAGATGTTCTAAAAAAACAAATATATGTAATGTTCCCCTAGATCATCTTCTCAAGCAACATAAGGCCATTTGTCACACTAACTTATAAATTATTTGAAGGAAAGGAACTGATAATAGCTTTTCTAAAAAAAAAACTACTAGTCCATTTCTCTGAGAATTGAAGCTAACTATTATGGTCATCATACAAGATGACCATAAATATACCTATTCTGATGAGAGATTTTTCAGTATTTAGCTAGAATGAATTTCAATTAAAATATTGGCCTGTATTTTATTGACTATATATACACCGTACCTGATATCGCGCAGATCCTGAAAACGTCGACTAAATCATACTCTTTGTGGATCAGGTAAAATGCATGACACAGAGACTTTGACTAGACCAAAACGACTTTGGCATTTGATCATTTCAAATATATAGAAGAAGGAACTCCAATAATGTAAATATAATGGGGGAAGAACAAACAAAGAGCACTCTAGCTACCTCGTATATATATGGTCTACTAGGTGTTGTCTAGTCTTAGCTATAGTGTGCAGCTGCTTGCCTGATTCATGCTAGCTTGATATTGGTACTGGTAACCAATGCAAAAGTAGTAGGCCGTGCAAGTGTCTGCCCTAAGCCCTAACAATCCCCAACAATCAACAAGATAGGAAGCAACATCTGAACAACCATCCAATGCAAGCATAAGTCTCATGGCCAAATGTAGCTGCTATGAGCTACTCACGAGACGCCGTATGACAAAACCATGCACATAAATCCCTCCAAAGGGAAGAAAGTTGTTAACCTTAAATTACAAGAAGAAACACAGGGGAATGTGAGGAATAAAAAAAAAGCAGCAAACAAATCGGAATCATCACGCCAAGAACTTGTGACGATCGATGATCCAAATTTGAAATAGATGCAAGTCTAAAACCTAAAACTATCGACCATACCTCCTGCTCGATCACCTTGCTGCAATCAATGTGTACGTGAGCTAGCAATCCCTACTACGCTTACGCTGCTCCAAAACCCTACATGCGTGAGCCATTCAGCTTTAGACGAGCAATGCAAGGAGGAGCGAGAGAGAGACGCCGCCATACACATGCACGTGCGCGCGATCCAATGCATGGATCGATGCATCAACCACGCCGGCTAGGAATGGCGGATGGCGCCCTTGCTTCTCCTGTGGCTCATGCTGTTCCACGTACGCGCGTACTCACCGAGCTTGCATTTGCGTCGACGAGCTCCAAGTTCGATCTCTATCATGGCCTCCACGCGCTTGCCCACACGAGAGGCTGTTCCTTCCACGCCAGGAAGACGCCTGCTCCGGCTGCCGAGTCGTCTAAACCGGCGTCCCGCATCGACCATCCTTCCCGATACCGACGGAGCAACGACCGCACGTCGTCGGCAACGTCCTCGCTGAACGCCACCGGAGAGAAGCCGGCAGATCGCATGCGGCGCGCCCATGAAACCGCCGTCTCCCGCCGTTCCATGGACTCCGACGCCTGGCACGAGACCAGGTCCACAATGGCACGTCCGGCTCCCCTCTCCAGTGCCAGCCTCTCGTTGCTAGTCTTGGGGAAGCTCTCTTCCAGCGAGTCCATGTATGCCGAGAAGAACCGCAAGCCCTCGCCGAACACCTTCAAGAACGCTGCCTCCGTGTCGCCGCTTTCCTCGGACTCGTCAGGGTAAAATGCCACGAGATCAGCCTCCTCCTCGACGACAGTAACAACCCGCGGATCGAGACGCCGGAGGGACGCGGCGAACGCGTCCCGTCTTCGGGCACCGCCCGGCACCACACCGCGCAGCGAGTTGACGCAGTTGACGGCGAGCGCGGTGGTGGCGCCGCCGTCGAGCAGGTCGAGCGCGTCGAGGTCGAGCTCCGCGAGGTCCCCGGCGTGGTGCACGGTGCGGAAGCTGAAGGGCACGCCCATCAGCCGCGCGAACTTCTCCATCCGCTGCCCGATCTCCCGCATCACGCGCTGCACGGCGGCCGTCGGCGCGGATGGCGCAGCGGAGACCACCGTGGTGATCGACAGGTGCGGCGTGTCGTTGGCGGATCGCGTAGCGAGCGCCTCGAGCAGCGTGGGCCACTGCGTGCAGAACGTGTTGCTCAGGTCGAGGATGTGGAACCTCTGCGGCTCCGACGACGCCGCCGAGGCCTCCAGGAACGACTCCAGGATGGCGCCGTTGGCGGCCACGTGCCCGAACGACGACCACGGGCTGAGCTCCTGGAACCGCAGCGCCGTGCGCCGCGTGGAGTCGAAGGACGTGTTCCGGTCGGACGCCGCCGCGAGCGTGCGCAGCGTCCGCGGGCCGGACGCCGTGAGGCGCGCGAAGAGCCCCTGGAGGAAGTAGGACGCCAGCTTCTGCTCGACGTCCCCGTACGGCGAGGCCAGCTCGTTGAGCATCCACATCAGCTGCTGCACGCGCTGGCTGTCGCGGGCCGCCACCGCGCGCGCGCACTCCAGCAGCAGCTGGCTCGCCCATCTTCCCCCGCCACCTCCCCCGACCGCCGCCGACGAGGCCGCGCCCCCGCCGGACGACGACGCCGGGGACGAGAAATCGAGGTTGAGGTCAGGCGGGAACGACAGGTCGGCCGCCTCGAACAGCGCGTGCGCCGCCCCCGCGGCCGTGGACGACGTGGACAGTGGGGGCGTCGGCGCCGTGGGCGTGGCCGCGGACGACGTTGGCGGCTGCACCGCCGCGCCGTGCGAGTGGAAGTGCTGCCTCGACGAGGACGAGGAGGAGAAGTCTTCATCCATGTAAAGGTGGTGGGCATTGCCGCATTCTTCTTGCTGGTACGGCTCCAGGTAGTACTGCTGGTGCTGGTGCTGGTGCTGCTGGCCGTAGTAGTACTGCCCGCCGCCGCCGCTGCTGGTGCTGTGGTAGTAGTAGTTGTAGGATGCGTTGGTCTGGTGCGACGACGACCTGGAGCCGCTCGACGTGGTGCTCCTCGAGTTGTAGGACGCCGACTGCTGCTGCTGCTCGGAGGCTTGAAGGCTAACCAACTTAAACAGCGTATCCATGTAAGCTGCTACTGCGGCGAGGCGGCAACATGAAGAGTGCGCTTGCTCAAGATCGCCGTGGTAACAAGGAAGGGGGGTTTTAATGGCAGCGCGGTGAGAACCGAGAACCGGCAAGGGTAGCAGACACCAGCCAGGAGGAGGAGGAGGCTAGCCAGTAGCCAGCTATAGCTAGGATGCCAGGCTATGAGAGGGAATTGTGAGTGGCAGCAATCCAATTCCAAGCAAGTGTGGCTGCCTACGCGTGTGTGTGTGGAGAGAAAGAGTGATCTATTCTTTTGAGCCAGAAAAGGGGAGCCCTGCGTGATGCGCTCGGCTCGCTTTGTTGGCGCCCTCTCGATCCCCAGTTCCACTGCTCTTTTGGCGAGACCGATGGAGCAATATGCTCTGCCTTGCTTCGCTTTTGGCCGGATCGATGAGGGAGGAGGGGGACGAAGGAATGGTTCGCATTGGAGTGGACGGATTCTTTACTGAGTGGCGCAGTGGGTGTGGCCGCCTTTTGCCTTTGCTTTCGTTCCCCATCTCGACCTCATTGCCCCGCCCTGGCGCCCTGCTGGCTTTTACGGGGGATTTTTTTTTGTGTGTGTGTGTTGGCCTGATTTGCTAACGAACTGAAAGACCGTTTGCGTTTGTGACAGTGTGCAGTTCTGATGGGATTTTATTTAGGCCATTTCTGTTAGGAAAGGACAGGCATAAACAAGTACAATCAAGAAAATGTACACACTGATTTGACATAGAGAAACTACTCGACGACATGATAAGGGTTACAAATAAACGTATGCCGCTCATCTGGTACGGCTTATAAGTGTATTATGTTTATATTTATATGGAGGTAATAAAACAAGATAGTATTCTCTCAATTATAAATTATAAGACATTTTAGCTTTTCTAATACATTGTTTTTATTATGTATCTAGGCATAATGTATATCTAAATGCATAGCAAAAACTATGTATTATAAAAGACAAAACGGCCTATAATTTAGAATGGTGGGAATATATTTTAAGACGAATTCTAAGACAAAAACAAATCCACTATCATTGGTGGGAAGCGTAGCCATTCGAGCATTTGGCTCCTCCATTCTCACTCCAGAAGGAAAAATGCTTTGAGTACAACTCAAGTACAACCACT